CAAGTCTGACCCAGAGTTCATTCATTCGTGAATATTAAGGCCCAATATCACACGAGATGAGAGTATTTATCGAGGGTGGGTCCCTAGCGAAGGGGTTCGTAAACTTTGAGACAATAGGATGCTTAAATTTTATACGTGGGGGGGGTCTTTCAGAGTCAGGTGGTGCAAATATTTTTTGAAAGTAATCTAACAACGTCCATTAGATCAGGTTGCAGGTATGACGTAAAATAACGTTCGATATGCTTCTGTGTCATCAATACGGTGTTTTGGTGTTGGCGTAAAAAACAGAAATTTGGAACTCTACTGTTAATACTATTTTTTTTAAGCAATAATCTTTTGGACTTTGAGAGCCAACTTACGGTGTCAAAACGTTATTATATTTAAAACTTTAAGAGTATTTGGAACCTCGAATTATTGGCTCGTTTATATACGGTTCACTACTGGCGGGGTCCAACTGTTCCATTATATTATGTACTGTTATGTTTTTGCCTGTAACAACATTCGTTAGAAATAACCGACCGAAATAAATGCAAAATACACAAAAAACGTGTTTTTTTATTATTATTTAAGCACAAAGCTGCACAATGGGCTATCTGTGCTGTGCCCGTCATGGGTATTGAAACCCGGTTTCTAACATTACAAGTTCGCAGACTTATCACCGTGTCACTGGGGGTGGGGTGAGGTGTGTGTCAGGAAACCCAGCAGTAATTTGTGGGATTAATTGCAGTACTGACTCACTATGTGTGTGAATCAAATATTGTTAGGGACCAACAAAAGTCTTGGACAATTTGAAGTATTTTTAGAATTGGTTCTTGTCGTTTTTTTTAAATAAACCGATGGAGTCTCCCAACAATATTTTTTAGGGTTAAGTAGAGATAATAACTATACTCGTGTCATTCATTTCAGTACTTACGTCATCGTTTCGTGTAAATTTACAGAGTGTGTAATATATTGTTCTCTGTTACAAATTCGATTCTACAAGTGATTAAGACAGGGTGTTTCTCAGAAGCAAGAAGAGCCTAATACGTATATAACAGAGAATGTTCCAGTAATTTCTAAAAATAAATTTTAAAAGATATAACAGAAAATAATCCAAGATTATCCGTTATCAATTCAAAGTGATAAAAGTAGTTACGGTGTTATTGCTCAAGCGCCGAGATGCAAGTTAGGTTTAAGAAGTTGAGCTACACTAAAATCCGGGGTTCGGTTCATAACCCCTGGTGGACGGAGCACGTATAGCTTATTGTTGAGCTTTGCGCTAAAACAAACCATCAATCTACGAGCTACGTACTTAGACAAGTCCCCGTTTTAAGAAAACTCTACAATACTGTTCTGGAAATTTCGAGACGCGAATTGTTACAATATAATTGTTTCCATATCGCTAATAAATGATCATGTTCTTATTTATTAATAAAAATTGTCAACTCTTCTGTCAATACCAAAACACAGAAAGTAAGTACTTGGTGAAAAACAGTTTGACAGTTAAAGATTGAAAAATAGCCATACAAACATAGTGTCGTTAGTAAGACATTATATTATATCAACTGTGTTATTGTTGTTACTGTGTTTTTAGTGTGAAGCTACTCAATAGGCTATCTGCGTTCTGTCCACCGCGGGGTATCGAACTCCGGATTTTAGTACTGAAAGTCCGTAAGCTTACCACTGATCCACCGGAGAAAAAAACAACAAATCCCCTCTTCCTTGAAGCCCCCAGTGTCTTAGTGGTAAGTCTTAGGGGCTTATAATACCAAAAGTTGGATTTCGATATCCGTAGTGGGCAAAGCACATATAGCCCATTGTACAACTTTATGCTTCATAATAAATATTCTTCTCTGAAAGCATTTCGCTTGTATGTAGCATTTTATATAACACTTGGACAAACGACACAATAAAATATTAATGTTCATATAATCATTGAAGTACACCAGATACCAAACAAAAATCTTGTTAATTTTCAACATGAACTAACGCAAAACATCTGTTAATGGAGAATCAGAATGATGAAACGTCTTATACTATCTCAACCAAATCTACAGGTTCACACTCACTATAATTTGTTCACACTCGGATGATATGTTCACACTCGCCGTGTTTCAAATAATAAAGATGAAACGTCTTATACTATCTCAACCAAATCTACAGGTTCACACTCACTATAATTTGTTCACACTCACAGTGTTTCAAATAATAAAGATGAAACGTCTTATACTATCTCAACGAAATCTATACGTTTACACGTGCATGATATGTTCACACACACTATAATTCATTCACACTAACATGATACGTTCATACTCACCGTATTTCAAAACCTCGGTCCATACTGCGTCAACACATTGAACTCCAATGAAACTTATTTCAATGAGATCTATCTTAACTAATGTTAGCAAAACGTTTTCTTGCTAGATTACATCAACAAAGTTTTTAGTCGGTGTGGTTACAAAAATCTTACGTAGGGGGTTGAATATCGACAGAAGAGGGCTGTTCAGTTGCGCATGCGCATAATCTAGAACTAATGCCAAACAAAGAAAAGAAAGTGGCTTGCTTTTCAATTTGAGACGTCGTGATACTATATTTATACATGACCCTTATGAGCAGCCACGTTCTCCACACTTACCCAACCCTCGCCCTACTCGACGCCCAGAAATTGTGAGCCCGGATCAGCAGGAGTCCTTTGTAAAACAAGACGTATAAAATATAATTCGGTGCGTGTATTGGTTCTTAGAGGATTGTTGTTATCAGCTTATAAGGAAGAAGGTTGAAATGTTTTCTGTTTTTTGAAAAATATGTCAGCTTTGGACATTAGACTCAACACCAGTTTAAAACATACAAACAAGAAATTATCGACAGTTGGAAGATGTCAAAAAAAAATGTTAACTTAGCAAAGGTAATATAACAACAAAGAGTTTTAAAAAACTTGATGAAAGATTAGTTTCCACAGGTCCAAAGCAGTTTCTAGCCAGTTTCTTGCCAGTCTTTTTTTTTTAACCAAACACATTTGTCACATCTTTCATCATGCTTTTTCATCATTTAACTATATAAGCAGAGGTGGGGGGGAGTGCCCCCCTGGAAAATGAAGAAAAGATTTCTTTCAGCATATATATATATATTATATGTGTGTGTGTGTGTGTGACTTTTTTTTTATTCCATTCAGAATTTCACTACTTTTGCCTCACGTATACAATACCGTATAAATTAAAGTTTTTATTGCTTCACTTTACAGATAAATGTGGCAATACGGTCGACGTATTATGTTACGCAATTATTTTTCCTATTTTGGCATCCTTTTGTGAAAAAAGTATTCACAGAAACTTTAAATGTTTTTTCCTTACATGTTAACCGTTTCGACTTCAGGAGAGCAGAGTACACTAGACGCCAGATTAGTTAGAAAGTAAACGCTCATTAAATTTGTTTGATAGGAAGTGTTAGCACACGGGATCACACTCGAATGGTGCAATGAATTAAAAA